GTTTTTTTGATATTCTAAACGCACCACGTTTCTTCTCCTTTTTTTTCACCCCCTTTAGGGACTCAATCAACAGACAGACTGACAGACTACAACTCTACTTCGACGCCTGTCATGCAATAGCCTTGGAAGCCCAACAAAATGAGTTTGTCCTCGATTCGGGACGGTTTCACGACATCCTCGATCGAGAGACGCTAGACAATCTGCTGGCCCCCACCCCAAAGGCCAGCTTTGATGACTCCTTCATGGCGCGTCCTCCGGATGGGGATTTCTTCGACGATGAACCGCACTTTGTGAGTTCCTATACGCACCCTCCCTCTTCCCAGGGCAACCTACCCGTTTTTATCTTACCCTCGAGTCCTGATCCATCGTCCTGCGTGTTTTGGATGCGAAATTTTGTGTTTATATAGATTCTAGGGGGGGGGCAAAGAATTCAAGGTAGGCGAACGAACGTTTTTGATTAATTCATCATCAAGCAATTGCAATAAGAGGAGGGTAGAGTTAACAGAAGTTTAAACAACCAATCAGCAGTAAGTAGGGAGGAGAAGGGATGAAATTTTAAGGGATTAGAAAGAGAAGGGGGGGGGAAGAGGGGGGATGGGTCCTACTTTCCCCCTATATTATTGTATTTGCCTGATGATGAATTAGTCGAAAAAGTTCATTCCCCACCTTGACTTCCTGAATGCTTACATGGGTATCATCGCCGAACTTAAACAATCCAAGGGCAAAGAATTGTTTTAGATTTTGTCTGGTTTTCCCCTGTTATAAATGCTTTTAGTCTACTTGCCACGAAAAATGCTACTTGATTCATCCCAAATTAAGGCCAGAGGGACCTGGGATTCGGATCAAACCGCTATCGTTAACCTGAACTCACAACTTATCTGGCCTGTGAGTAATCTGATTATAGGCCGCGGTGAGACTACAATAGCTGTGTTCGCTTATTAGCTTACACGCGCGCAAGTTTCATCCAAAAGTTCGAACCACTGGGTGTCTTACATGACACAACCCGAATCTACTCGGTCGCTTGTATAATTTGTGCCCTTTAGACAGCCTTGGCATTTTTCTACGCCGCGCAATTGATCTACTGGTACGTCTAAGATTAAGACGCGCGTTATCGATTTTCTTGCGCGTCGGGGCAGACGCCTGCTAGCCAGCTCCGCTGACGGCACTTGCACCCCGCAAGAGTCTTTTGTGTTCAACTCGTAGTTGATGCTGTTGGCATCTTCAGACAGACACAAAAGTGCATGATGGACTTCGCTAGATACTTTTTGCGCTTTATTCTGACTCGTGAGTTCTATAACCGACTGTTTGGCGCCGTCTTGTCATGCAAACGGAGTTTGTTGGCTTCAAGAAGCCAATGAATCGGTTTACGCCCATTCCTGGCTGAATGCATGCCTATGCATACCAAGCAGGATTCTTTTTTCGAATTTTATTTGAGCAACGTCCACTTTTAAAGTAGTAAAACAAAACATTCTTCTTGCTCTTTTCTGATAGTAAGTTCTTGAATGCATGGAGAACTAGGTATCAAAAAGTTCAGTTTTCACATTCTTGAAACACACATCCTTACTTTATGTTTCGGAAGTTCCCACCCAACCCAAGTGCCTCTCTAATTAAGAAGGTTTTTCATTCTTCTCTTCATGTTTTATGATGAGTAACCTTGGCAAACACAAGTTACTGGTGAGTGGGTGGACTTTAGTTTGCGAGTTTCTGTGTGTATGATTTATTACGAACCCACGCCTCTTTTTTGTGTGGAAAATGTGGTTTTACTGTTTCATCGCGAGAAAATTGCGCAATCACCAAGTCGTGCTGAGTGGGATTACTGCTTAAACTCATGCCCACAGAGCAGTTGACTCATTCGACTTAGTGGTCCAACTCATCCTTCCATCCACCCTCCCACGTACCCACCTACATGTGACGGCGGAATTCAGTTGTCAGTCATCCGGTGGCTTGCTTAATTTGCATCAGAGCTGTGTAGTCGAGATCCCCTAGCTTGCGTAGGCTGGAGAAAGATGGAGCAGTTGGAAGGAGTGATTTTCTGTCGAGAGAAGCCCGCAGGAATTGGCCGCACTGACATGGAAGTAAGTGATCGGGGGCCAGAGCCTAATTTACAATGAAAATTTGAGTGGAAGATAATCAACTATCGTGGAATACCCATGGAGTGCCCATTCTACAAACGAGTAGTACGACAAGTAGTATGAATTCTATATGGCAATGATGTTATACCGTACTCCCGACATAGATATTATTATTTAGGGATCATATACCAGAAACCGCACAGAGAACGCTAGAGAACCCACTGAGGAGCCGAACCCCCCGTTTCTGTATCACGCAACAACAGAGATTTCGGCGACCAATGTGTCTTGGCTTTTAGCTAGCACCTATGTCAGCAGTACGGTATAACATCATTGCTATATAGAATTCATACTACTTGTAGTACCAGTTGTTTGTAGAGTGGGCATTCCGTGGTTATTCCATGGGAGTTTATTGTCTTCGGCTAAACTATTCGTTGACATTTAGGGTCTGGCCCTAAAAAGTCATCTCCCAGTCACTTACTTCCACGTCATACACTGAATAATTTCCAAAATTATTCCCTCGGGTGATATATATATATATATATATATATATATATATATATATATAT